AATAAAATAAAATAAAATAAAATAAAATAAAATAAAATAAAAATAAAAATAAAATAAAATAAAATAAAAATAAAATACTCATTTGGACATTGCACTTTTGACAGTGCCTGTGGCCAGGGGAGATGTAAAGCGCATCCCTCCGGCGCATTGAGAGCTATACGGGTGTCTGTTTTGCATTGCTGTGCCCAGCAGCCTCCCTTGGTTGCACGCAGCCCCAGCCTGGAAGCTCCATTTGCACCCTCTGGGGCTAAAATAGTTAGAAGGGCATCAATCTGGGGCAAAGTTTAATGACTGGCCCAGTCATAAAATCTGTTTGTCTGCCCTTCACGGTGAGTAAGAACCAAGTCACTGAAGGGAAGGAGTGTTACTTGCTGGCACCTCAGAGAAGAATTTAGCAAGGTCAGTTATGAAATGGGAGACCGAGGAAGGGAAGGGGCTCCTAATTTCACCCCCAAATTGGCCAGCAAGTGAATTACGAGGCACAATCTGGGCTGCTAATGGGCCTGTGATAGTCTGCAGTGGTGGAGGATGCGGCTGTGGGGCACCTAGTACCCAACCCAGCAGCGCCCCTGATCTTGAGGGGTCAGCAAGCTGGATAGCATCCAAATTTGGGGATGTTTGGGGTATGATTTACTCCCCTGTAAAGGAGTGAAGCCTTAGAGGCTTGGAAAACAGAGAATCTATCCTTCATTTGGCATCTTGTTTGCAAACCTTCAGCATAACCCAGCTCACTGAGGCCGATATTCTCATTCCTGTACAGGACGTACCAGCCTTGAAACCCCTTCTCCACTGCGACGCCTATGATAATTTGATATAAAGAAAAAACCAAAAATATTTGTAAAAAATAAGAGTTATTTGTTACTCCTCTATCTGCTGTTGCAAGACAGTGACACTGAACCTAACCATTAGTGTGTGCAAGACATTAAGACATTGATTTTAGACATTTCTCAAACTATCTAAATGTTAAAAACAGCCTTTTTTCTTTTTTCTCTTTTTTTTTTTTTTTTGGATTAGACACACTTTGCAATACCCCTTCACTTCGGCAAGTGAAAAGTGTCGAAGAGACTGCTAAATATTAAATAACTGATTTTACACCCAAAGGGACGCCCAGCCTGGCTGCCCGCTAGCCGTGAAGGGATGCGGCCTGCTTGCATGCAACAACAACAAGAATCGTATGTTCTTCACCCAAAAGCAGCCCCCTTCTTTAGGCAGGGCCTCCCCGGGAGGCCAAGCCTCGCGCTTCCAGCCTCGTCTCCTGGAGGCTCCTTGGGGACCTCGCTGCCACCCGGGCTGTCTTTGAAGAGCTACAGGTGGCCGATAAGGGCGCTTCCATTTGCATTGCAATTCAGCCTTTGACAGACAGCTGGAGCCAGGGCGCTGTTAAGCTAATGGTCTTGCTAACAGCACCCGGGTGTGAGGCGCTACGAGGGCCCCCGCACAAAGGGATAAAGCCAGGCTGGGAGGGAAAAAAAAAGAAAGAAAGAAAGAAAAAAGCCCTTTCCTGACATCATTACGAGGCGCAAATAAACAGAGCTGGTCCCTCTTCATGCACTTGCTAGGCTCGGGTCAATAGCGAGCTCGCTGTGCTCTTTTGGTGGGGGAAACCATCTCTCTTTGTGGAACACCCCGAGAAGGAGCAGGGAGATTTGGGATCTGCCATCTTTCTGCACGCCTTCTGCTCCAGCAGTTCACATTTTACATAGCAGGTTTGCATGCTAGACCCCTATCTTCGCCCCCATCCCGGCTCCTGCGGAGCAGGGTAATAAAAGCAAGTCTGGTTCTCACCCGCCCTGGCTTTTCCTCCCACTTAATGCAATCATCTCAATGCTGATGTCTTCCAAAGCTGCGCCCCTTGGAAAGAAATACACTGTGTATGGTTACCAAAAAATGAGGGGGAAAAAAGGCCTAGTAAGCCATCGCCTTGCAAGAAGAAGTCCTTCCTTCTCCAGGTCTTGGTCCTACCTTAAGCACCAGGGCAGGAGTGACACCAATCTGTGTATGCTGCTAGCCTGACCTTTGCTTTGTCCTCTGTGCTCTAAAACACGATGAAAATATTAGAGAAAACACAAGTGTGCCAGGGATGGACAGCGAATCTCCCCGTTTGCACTTGGGAAGCCACCCCACAAAGCATGGGGGTAGCAGGAGGATCTCCTTCTTGTCGTGGTGTCCCTGGATATCACTCTGTCGCAGCCCTACAGGGTCAACCTTTGCTGGCTAATCCGCATTACGTCTCGACACATGCGGCCCGCGTCCACGTTACCCGGCTGGACCCCAAATAACCCGTGACGGCAGCGCCGCAGAGCCGGCAGCACCGCCGCTCAGGGCCGGGAGA